ATTCTTATTGCACTACTGCTTTTGCAATTGTAACTAATTCACAAAATGCAGACTATTATTTCTTTAACGTCCTCCTGCTCTTGTCATGTTAAATGCATTTGCGTCATTGTTATGGTTTAAACAGATTTTAAAAAGAAATGCTTCCTTTAAATATATAAATGGTTTCATTCTAAACTTTGACAAAAACAATTTGAAACTAGACTGAATTGATGCAATAAACCTTATTATCCAGTCCATTTGTCTGTTTAGTGCGCAACCGTGCACCGCACATCATATTGACTCAAAACCCCCATCTGTTCTTAATTTAATGGAAAAAGAAAAGCTTAACATCTGTCTTCAGCAGTGGACTTTTTGTGCCCTTAGGTGGCACATAAATTTCAAGTCTGAATAGGTACTGAAATAAAAACTCCATGATACAGGGGGAGATAGAAAACCATATTATCGCTTCCACATTAGTTTCTACCTTGAAGGCTATGTGTCAGACAGTATCAGTATCCAAGAGGCAAGTCACACCTATCCTGAACACAAAAATACAGAACTGAGATCAAGTTTGTGATTTAAAATTATTATATTTTCCTATAATTTTAATTGACATTAATTTTGAAGATATTATGGAAATCATTTGCAGTGTGTTTCTATATACATTTGAAACAATATAGCTTATGGAGGATTCTATTCTGAGACATTTTCTAATTTCCTTTCTATTAATCAGTAGCAGTATGTGGAATTAAAAATAAATAAGGGTTTGTTTCTTGTAATTTGATTATCTGCCAGCAATACAATTCTGCATAATTGTAATCTAATTATCCTTAGAGTTCCATGGCCAAACAGTAGGCCAAGTTGATGGAAATACAGTGTATCTAATGGTGCTTGAAATCAGCATCTTATAATCGACTGTTCTAAGCAAGATTTTTATAAGAAACATTGAGCAGTTTTCACTGTAATGAAGATAGTTTGGCATTCTACATCCTGTCTCAGCACCTCATCCTGTTTGGTGAAAATAATAAACTTAGAATACAGTATAAACAGTACTCAGACAGGAACTTAGAAATGCAATAGAAGGCAGTTGTTTTGTACTTGCTTTAACTGACCCTGGTTCATTTATATTAAAAACATTGTGTTTTTGTTCTGCAGAGACCGTGTCTTAGTCGTAAAAACTTGGTGAGACACACAAATAAAAGAAGGCTTTCTTATATTTTAGATATGTTTAACTGCTTGCTAAAGGTAAATTTTTTTAATAAAAGTATCTTGTCACAAACATGTATTGCTTTGCTTATTTATAGAAACCTTCATATCTTATGATTTATTATTTACATTTGCTCATTTATAAACTATATTCGGGTTCTGTTTGGTTGCTACTCACGTTTCAAAGAAATCCTAATTTCTAGTTTTTCTAGATCCTAGTTTTTTTGTGTAAATTTGCCATTTTTTGTCAAATTTAAGAGCTTTTAAAAACAAAGCAATGTTATAAAATTTCACTGTCATTTGGTGAATGCGGTGAATATAGCAATATAAAAAACAAAGGTAAGCCTATCTATGCAAAATGCAATGATACTGTAAGAGACATAGAGGCAAACAAAAGTAACCTAAGAGGGCTTGAATCTTTCCTAACAGTCTTCATCTTCTCTGACTCATTAACATTATTTATTGTATGAAGCAGGAAAATAAGCCCCAGTGCGATCAAAACTGGATCACTAGATTCTTTTGGTCACATGGACTTGTTTTTACTTAAAAAAGGAGTAAACAAGTTTAATGTTTTAGCTGGAAGATTGAAGCATGTGACAAGCATCCTCAAAGCTACTGTTTGTTGAAAAAATAGGAAAGATAGCGGAGGATTGTTTTGGCCTTTCATTTTACCAAGGTGAATCCGTGTGCCTTTTCCTGTGAGGACACATAAAAGATGACTTATTCCAGACTATCCAGTGCACTTTAGTGAATTTAAAGATGGTACTGGAACAAGAGGCTTAGAGAATGCAGAAGAAGACATACTGAACATGTTTTTAAATGGGGAATTATTTTCCAATATTTTCATTCTAACGTAGTGCAATTTAAATTATTAAATTATTAGAATTGGTGTTGGGGAAAGTAACTTTTCAAATATACTGTAATCTGTGGCAAATTGATTACTTTTTTAAAAAAGGTGAAACTTTACATGGTTACTACACACACAAAATTGATCACTGATGATTTTGTAAAACAATTTCCCCACAAATTTGTACTTTTAAAAAGTAATCTCACACCAAGTAACTTGTAACTTTTATTTTTTAAAGTAACATTCTGTGAAGATCACCCTTTAATATCACAAAGCAAAAATCCCATCTGAAAAAAGGAAAGTGCAAAGTATTATAAGACCTTTGGGGTTGATATGTACAGTATTTTACACACTAGAAAAGGAATAAATATAACATATATACCAGCTATATCTAAATCTTTGAACAACAACAATAATCTGGATGCATACATGAAAAAGAAAGCAAAGAAGACATGGATTATTCAGAATCTCTCATGCTTTGATATTATTGGAATAAAGGCTTAACACCAGCTCGTAGTAATTGTGTTACTTGAAATGAATGGCAAACATCTATAAATATTTGTTGAGCTACATGAAATGTAAATTTTCCTTACTGAGCTTAAAATATAATTAATAATTTTGCATGCATTTAATGGGCCTAAACCCATTAGGATGGGGTGGGGGGTTGAAACCTTGCAGTGAAGCTGTTCAATCACTTCTCTTCCTAACCATCCTGAAAGCACAATGATTTCCTGCTGGAGTTCATTTTTATGAAGTGTAATTGGGAAATTCAGAAGAATGGAGTCACACAGGGACTTGTTACTTTGAATTGAAAGCAACAATCTATAATTTTGATATAATAGGCAATGTAGTCAAACTAAATACTTATTTTGCTGCCCGGATTGTACAATGTACCGGAGGTTATGGATTTTACTCTTTTCCTTCATATGGGAACTATGGAAGCTTCAAATTAAAATTAATGACTGTTGCAGTTTAAAATGAAAAAAGGTGGATAGCCCTTTCCAGTGTATTGTCAAAAGAAAAGCATTTTTAATGGCTATTGTTTTCCTAAGGTGTTTCAGTGGCTAAAATCAGCAAATAAAAAATAATAATTTATATAATCAAGTAAAACTTTGAAACACATTTTAAAAAAACCTGCCAGAATCCTGAAATTAGAACACACTGTATTTTATTACATTAATATTGTAATATTTGTAAATATAATATTTTAAGATTTTATGACATAGATTTAGCGGATACATGGTATGGAGTATGGAGTTGGATTATAACAAAACATACAGTAAAAAAAAATCTCCAACTGTGATATAAACTTTCTTTTAATAATACTTGAATTACCTTGATGGTATTCATCCAACTTCATCACATTTGACAACCCTCCAGAAGACAGGCAAATGTGCTCCAATTGATAGAGTATATGTGTTTCAAAGAGGTAATAGATTCATAATGGATTTATATTGTGTTTTTTTGCCATGGTTTCATTTGTGAAAGTGAATGAAACTGCAGCATGTAAAATAAAGCACAATGATTATTACTACTGATAAATATGAGCAGCTACATTTACTGTATAAAGTGCCTTACATTAAATGTTATTAATGTAATAACATAAAAAAGCTGAAGGGCTATGTAGGCTAAAATTTTTTATTATGTGTTCAGTAACCAAAATGTTCTACAGTAAAATGTGATGTGAAGCTGGTCTGTGATTTATGAGGCTTTAGAAAGAAATTCATGAAGATAGAATCAGTAATCTTTTCTCCAAAGCACTGTAAATCAGTGAGACAAGTGCTTTCAGTAACTATTTGTTTTGATTGATAAGAAGTGCCTGGAGAGGCCCAAATATTTTTGTTCAAAATACTATTGAAATAAAAACTGTATTCAGTGTATTATAACCAGTATTTAATAAGTACCCACATCATGGTTCTATAATATTAAAAGGCAGATCTATTGCATACCACCTTGCAAAAATAACCAAAAGCAACCTGTAGATAGATACTGTAACAGTACATTATTGTGAAAATGGAACAGATATGGTCATAAGACGTTACCTTTCAGCCATGTTCCAAGGTGAGAAACAATCAAGACAGTCCTGTTTCATAATTATTGGATTGTGTTTTTAGTTATCAAACCATATACTGTAGGCTCACAGTCATGTTAGAAGCATGTCAGCTAATCAAAATGAAACACAGAACATAGGTAAAGAAGGTATAGGAAGCAATAACATTTTAGGGTTTTTGTTGTTTCCTCTACTTGGCAAAGTTTTCTGAGCAGCTGTGTACCCATTGAGACCCTTTTGTGTGAATGTAACTGTCCTACTGTATGTTATCCCCCGAACTGGCAACATGGCAATGCTTAATCACGTATCACACAATTTACTCAGAGGAATTTAACACAAACTACACAGAAGTGATGTATTCTTCCTCTGCTTACACTGGTGTCAAATGTAATAGTATCATGAACCCCACTCAGAGTCTTACATACAGTAATGAGTGAAATGTAAAGCTCAACTATAACATGTTTATAAGAGTAGATTAACTATAACCTTGATTTCCATGCTCTTGTTATGTACGATTTCCTTTCCAGAAAGGCTTGTAAACATATTTAAACTCTGAAATGGTAACTCTCACTATAATTGTATACTATACAGTTTGATGTAGTCTAGCACTTTCTATTGGATTACCAGACAACTAAAGACATAATGTTATTATAATGCTCTGTGAGGTAACATTTCAACATTTGTATACAAAATCATATTATACTATTAATATGATACATAATTTGCATTGTTTTCCCATTTCCCATTTCAGTAATTATTTTTTTCTCTTTTAAATAGCTGATTGTTTTCCATTTTTAATTTAGTTTATGCTTTTAAGTGAATACAAATTTCAAATTAAAAGTCAGTCAGCAGTGAATACTCATGTAGGAAGTGTAGAATCACATGAAAACATCCACAAAGATGGATTGCTTTTAAAAATATACTAGTGTTTTATTTGGATGAAAATACAAATTTTCATTTTGTAATGAGAGCTCCTCATTAGTTTGACCCCAGCTAATCCAATCATGCTTAATATAGTTTATGAATACAGGTTTCAGGGAAAAGACAGGATTACATTCTCAACATGCTGCTAATAATAATTTTAAATATCAGTGCAGTTATAGTACACAGTCAAGACAAAACAATGAAACATATAATTTTATCATAATTTTACAAATATGAAGTCCTAGGGATTAAGTCGCATTGCTGTCCCTTCAGACATGAGGAAATTATTCCTTTTACGGCATTATGATAGATGTACAAAATACATAAAACTACACAGACAAAAACAAGTAATGGTCTACATCTGTCAAGCCTAAACTTAGATTTTGTTTTGTTGTTGAAATATTGCTTTTTTACTTGATACACTAGAGTGAGGTGAAACAATTCTATGTCTGCTCTATACTTTTAATGTATTTAATGTTTAAATGTACATTTTATGACATATAGTTGAATATATACAGTATGGAGCTTTTCTAAAACGCGTCACATAAAGTCAAGTACGTTATTTCCAATTTTGTTCATGTATGCAAGATTATTTGAATATGAATATTTTGAAGTCATGGGATAAAGCTTTGGGTATAGATTCATTACTATCCGTTACAAGCTTTGTTCTACCACACTGCATCAAGAGCTGTCACTTTTAAGTAATGTTCTCTCTGCGTAATGACTGTACTTTTACAGTCAAATGCTAAAATTGCTCGATTGGCAACACATGCAGTTATTTTAAAAAGAAGGTTTATATAATAATGCAGATGGTAAGGAAATCATTAACAATAATGACAAAACACAAGTTAGAGGTTCATTTTGAAGAACCACCACCTTTCTTTTGTAGATGATAGAGTTTCACAAGAACAAATGTATAAACTTGTGTTTATAACTTACAAATGGAAAGGCCTTACTTTCAGCTAAGACCTCATTTTTGTGCAGTGTTTGGGTCCTACTGTTTAAGTACTTTGTTTTCCAAGACTTAAGACCAATCACAAAAGAAAATGAATGCACAGCTTTGGTCATCACTGAACTTATCTGCAGTAAAGTAAAGCTGGAACATGATACAAAAATGTTACTTGACAACATAGTTCCTTCATATGGAAAGCTGGAAGGTAGAAATTTCAGTTTCTTTTGCTGCATGTGTTTATTGCCATTTACTTATAGTCTTCCATTTAAAAAAAACTGATCTTTTATTATAATATTATATACATATACATCACTTCCATTCCCTGAAATCACCCACCGCATTATTTGAATGAAACATTGTAATAAGCTCTTGTCTACTTCATGTCATTAATAAACAGTCAGCAATTTCAAATTTGACCACTGTGGAAAAACATCGTCTTGGTTAACAAAGGGCTAAAAGAAGAAGGCCAGACAGCGGATCTTTTACATGGGACAGACTTTGTTTTCAGGAATGGGAAGCTGAGCAAAGGAACTTTGCTGGCTTTGCTCCTCTTCAGCTTTCTCAGTGATGTTGTTCGAAATGGTGATGTGAGCAGCTATGGCAGACATCTCCCCTTCATTGCTTTCAGCAGTCATCGGCCCCCTGTCAGTAGTCTGGTTAAGGTTCATATCCATTGCTGATCCATTACAGTTAAACAGCTGAATTAAACACTTCCTAAACTGTAGAGAAAATCGAAAAATACACGATAACATACAGGAATCAAACAGTACTTTTTATCTCATAAGAAAATATGCCATTTGTGAATAGTAATAGTTTCAAATTGCACGTTGTGAATTAGTTCTCTTCTTTTGTGTTCTGGGATCTACAGTTGTCACCTGGACTTGCAGTCCTTGCACCTCACTGTCATTCTGTTGCAGGAGAAGAAATGTGTACAGAGAAGTGTGGGACAGTGGATATTCTCTGGCCTAACACCTGGAAGGTTGTGGGTTTGAATCCTAGTACTGAAAGTAAATACATTGAACTGTGAGCTATGTATTTAACTTGGATTGCTTTAATAAGATGCACAACTGTTAAAATGGTTACAAATAACAAATTATCTTGCAAGATAAATTATAAGCTTTATAATATAATGCAAGATAAATTAACAATAGTTCATTATTCGTAATCTATGTATTTAGAAATTTATAAAAAATGCATTATCTGCCACTGTAATACTTGTAGTACTTTGGTGCTTTATAATTTAATCCTGATCTATATCCCAATTAAACAAAGTGTTTTTCCCTATCAATTGCTTTTTTTTTGCATTTCCCCATCTAGGTTGTTGTTGGTTTTTTCTTTTCCTTTATTACATTTTTTACTTTCCCTTTATGTTTTTGTTAAAGTTATTCAGTATTAGAAAACACTAGGAAGTAATAGAGTATTAGCCCAGTTTTGTCTAATTGATAAGCAAAAACCAACCTATAGCCTGTGGTGAATCTTTTTTGTCTTTAGGTGACATTTTGAACATAACAAAATACAAGAAATCTATAAGACCAAGTGCAAAATATAAATATATATAATATACTGTATGATAAACTTGTCTTTGATATCTTATTTAAATTCTGACTTCTTTTAAATATATAAATTATATATTTAACTTACTGTATAAATACTACAATCCACACAAACTGTCCTGACCTACAGTTCGAAGAACAACAGGAACAGTGCTGTACTTCATCTGAAAATTACACTTCATGTTATCAGAAATTTGTTTCCGAAATAAAATTACCATCCCTGCACTGAAATGTTAACAGAATACTTAGCTTTTCAGCTACATGAGAGCCTGCACACACTTTTGTGTTCAACAATCAATTTCTTGTTTTCCAATATCTGGACTCTGAAGGGCTTTCTGGGTTATCCCTATCAGGGGTGCCAATTTCATTTAATTCTACCACATTTTTAAGAAAACGTGGAGTGATATAATACTAAATGCTTTGCAGATCAATCACACAAGTACAGTGTTGCACTAAGACAGCAATTAACTTAATCAATGTTGAAATGGAAGTGTAGCATATCTACTAGTGTTCCATAAAATTACAGAAATAAAGTGGTCTTTATACTAGTTATGAATTCTTTGGTTCTTTTGTGACTAATGCTTTCTATTGAAGCATGTCAAGTAGCCTTATGTCCCTGATTTATTTTAAATCTGTTTAGAGGGTAGTTGTTATGCAGTGGTTGTCTGACATTCCCATGCACAGCACTGAGCATTTTAGAGCTTCTCCTTTGAACAAAACAAAACTCTATTGTCCTACTAGTATTCTCTTTGTACTGCAAGACAACCTGACACTGATGTAGTGTCCTTGCCTTGCATTCAGCTTTATAGTTTTTAATCCTTCTAAATATAAAGATAAAAAGCCAAGGAAATAATTGTTCTACACTTGCACATGCTATAATAATATTCTGCAGTCAGCCCCCATCATGTGAGAGGTAGAAGCTCAGACAGGCAGATATGTGATACAAGGTTATATTGAATTAATGAAGAGTGCCTGGTTGTGTTGCAATCTAATACAAGACTTTTGTCTAAAGGATCAGTTTTTCACCTTAAAATTGATAGCAGTCCTTTTGCATGTTTGCCTGGAGAATTTACAATAGTATGCCAATTTAGATGTATGACTATTTTAAAGAAAAGCTAAGAAAAGACATTTAAGTTGAAAGGAGGGAATTCAATTATACACATGTTAAACAGAATGTTTTTTTTTCTATAAAGTCCAAAAAACTGGCATGGCAAATAAAGTGTTCAGTGGAATTTATAATGGATTATAACTTGTTGCATATATATTTTGATGTAAGAAACAGGTTATTTAAAAATGTATGAGGAAAATACAGATAATATGTGTTTTCCTTCCGAAATATTAGATAGTACCCAAAAAACAAGTCGATCCATCTCCAATGGCAATTACAGCCAGAGCTCTTTGTGAACCTCTAGTAAAAATTGCTATTCTGCAGACACCCATGGAGATATGAGACCACTTTTTCAGTTTTTTTCACAAGCCATGAAATAAATCATCTGACTCTGATTTTCTATCTTTTTTCAGGCTGAATTATACTTCAGCTAGTGCCTTAAAAGCCTTATGTCTGTTTGAATAGACAAATTAGCCAGGTCTGCTGTTGCCTGCAGCAATGCCTATGTGATAAGGTACATGCTCCTTAAAAACATGCCTCTTATGAAGTACATCAGTTTTCCTATGAAAAAAGGTCCGCTGTGCTAGTGCTTTAGAGACCTCAGGGTTTACAGGAATACCATCATTGTCGTTACATCATAAAGAACAAGTCACTCCTATGGAAATGACCATTTTCCAAAATGTAATGTAAATGTAAATTGGCCATTACATGTGAATTTGTTTTTGTGCAGAATCCTTTTGTTAGAATATCGGCCTTTTCATAGTATTTGCAGAATATTTAGTGAACACAATATTACATGTTAAGAACATGTTACAGATGAACTTTCATCCATAGTCTATATGTGCTACTGATCATTTATAAAACTGCAAGACAGCACCAGCAAGTGTTGGAACAAAGGAAAATGGCATATGCACCCTGGGTCTCATTTTTAATGAGAGAGAATGGAGCTACACTGCAGAAGACAGTAATTACACATGTAATCTGGACACCACCAAATGGCCCAGAAAAAGGTCAGTCAGAGTACTTAGAGATACAGATTTAAAAATAAAAAAGCCATAACCTTAATTAAACAAGAAAAGGTCACGCAGAATGAGCCAGGTTAGTCAATTTTCTATTTTCTCGAGTATGTTCAAGATTACTTCAAGGCACACTGCAGAACACATCATTTTTAAAGGTTCCCTACTGCCTCTACCCCAAATGTAGACACACTAAAACCTCTGTTGCCAAAGCACATCAGCTTAGAGGTCAAAGACAAAAAGTACAAATTTTCCTTTCATGCAATGTCAGCAGTTTCATGCTTCACCAGTAGCAAAAAAGCAATACAGACTAGTAATTATCCCCATTGTTTATAACTGAATATGTTTGATACTGAAGGTGATAATGGGTTTTGATCAGCTTATGTTAGGAGAGAATTTACTCTATTAATGCACCTACAGTACATGATATACATTTTTGAAGATCATAAAATGGAAGAATTGTGATAACAGGTGAAAATAAAGTTTATTTCCACACAGTGAGCTCCATGGAGGTTTTATGCTCATAATGATTTTCAAACGGCACAGGCCACATGCAACTCTGAAAGCATTAGCATTCTACTGGCATATACACCTGCTGTAAGAGTGCCGGAGGTGTTCTACTTGATCCTAGGGGGACTGGCCTTGAGAGGCAGCAATATTTCTAGTAGATATGGAGAAACAATCCTGTAGAATTTATTTCAAAGAATGAGAGAAGTAGTGGTCTTTCCTGATAATTTCCTTCTACATTCTGGACTATTTTTAACAGCGCACTCCAACAATTCATTCAGTGATAGAAATCAAATTATAAATCATGCCAAGGGCAGTAATATCATCCTTAATAGCTTCTTCTATAATGTAAAAGCCACACAACTGCCTTCACTAAGCATAATTATACAATGTCATATGTTTCACAGTCCAGCCAGATAAAATTTCTAGACCTAACCAAACAAAAACATTTTTTTCAGAATTCGACTTTTCGAAATGTATTATTAATGGTCTCACAATGGATTCCAACACCCAACTGCATTGATTATGGTATATGGATTATTTGTCACAATAGTGCAATACTATTGTCACAATTTGTTGCAATACTTTTTAGTTACATTAAAAAGCTGGCAAAAAGTTGATTCTCATCACCACTATTCTATGAATCTATTTTTAGGAAATATTCCCATTCTTTTAGTTTTAATTTATGTTTTTCCAATAACTGGAATTGAACATACTGAAAAGCATTAAAAATGCAATAAATTAGTATTCAAATCAATAATATTTTTATGCCTCTCTCTATATAAGGGTTTACACACCTATTGATTTTAAGAATGTCTTTTTCTTTGCTATGTTGAAAGTACCTAACCTATTAAAAATTCATGCATGGTTGTGGCCTCTTAGTTATCTACTCTAATATGTAGAGATCTGGACAAAGCTGTGAAGTTAAAGACTCAATATTTGGCCCAAGGGTGAGAGGTGATGCATTATCAATCATCTCAATAATAATTTAAAGACAGTAATTATTCTTGATCAGTTATGGATACAGGTTAAGTCTCTAAATAAACCATCTAACCTTTATAGGCACATCTTATATTTTCAAAATTGTATGGTATTGAGAAGACTTAATTCTAATTTCTGCCAGTAGCATGGTGTTTCCAGACTTTTTTCACTTATATGCTGAATATATATGTGGAATACATTCCCAAAGATCTGCAGACATTCACAAAAATCCAACAGGATGAGGGACATCTGCAGTTCTGTTCAGTACTATTATTCCGACTATCTTTCAATACCTTAGACACAGCTTGGCTACCGTACCTCTCATACCTTACACACACATTGGCTGCCGAGGCTACAGACAACAGTATCCTCCCTGGTCACCCATCCATCTCTTCCTTATTTATATACATAGGACACAACAAGTTTAGAAATAATGTGGTCTTTGTGCTAGTTACGAATCCTTTGGTTCAGTTGTGACTCAAGAATATCTACTCCTTTCCTCTATCTGGAGGGTGCAGTGGCTCTGTTGCTAAGGATCTACACCTGTGGCTGGAAGGTTGCCAGTTCATATCCCATGGTCGACATAGGAATCCTACTCCATTGGGCCCCTGAGCAAGGCCCTTAACTACTCCAGGGGTGCTGTATAAATGGCTGACCCTGTGCTCTGACCCCAAGATTCTCTCCCTGTCTGTGTGTCACATGGAGAGCAAGTTGGGGTATGTGAAAAAATACTAATTTCTAATACAAGAAATTGTATATGGCCAATAAAGTGATCTTATCTTACCACTATCCCTGAGGATATGGAGTCAGTTCAAAATATCAGTAGCTGTAGGCAAATTACAAGCATTATACTGGAAAGATCTAACTGATGTTGACTTTGGAGCATCATTGCTTTCTGTTCCAGATTAGACTAGGACTTTTAAAACTGAATCTACAGACCATTACATTTACTAGCCAATTAGCAAATATGCAGAAAAAGCTCATTCATAATAAAATACTTTTAAATAGTACCTGTTTATTCATAAACACATATATGATGGGGTTGTAAACCGTAGCAGTTTTGGAGAAAAAGGCTGGCACTGCTGCTAGACGTGGATCCAGGTGAATTGTGGGGCAGATGGTCACAACAATTGAAAAGGCTGCGTAAGGGGTCCAGCAGATCAGGAATGCCAGGATCATGACAATGACCATGCGTGTGACTTGTCTTTCTGGTTTCCTGGTACTTCCCAGCCTACCTTGAGTATCAGATACCTACAAAACAACAACAACCAAAATTAAATGAGTGTTTTGATTAAAATTACCCAAAGATAGGTAGGGGGTATAGTTTAGTATAAACAAAGGAAATAGTAACATTGCTAAATTGAGGTAACAGCTCAAAGAGTTACCATGGTTGCTACATTATTTTCTCACTTTGCATTTCTTCTTCCAGGGTGTTTTTATTCTTACGTATTATGAATATACAGTATATGTAAATTATGGCTCTATGAAAAAAATAATGTATTAAAAAAGAACAAAGAATGTTTAAAAGCCTTCCAAAACGCAGTGTTAGTTTTCTTTTGAACCTGTTAAAAGTTTATAGGGGGGGGGGGGAGGAAATTAGGTTGTTCACATTCTTGTTTCCTATCAGAATAGGGAATGTGTGGTTCTGCAGAGTGCAGATTCAATCTGGATTTTTTTCCAAATATTTATCTAATTGATTGCATTTGTGCTTAATTTCATTAAATATTTAAGAAATATTTAGAAGACAAATCTGTTCAAACATTTTCCCTGTGATTCCTATAAATGTGAGTAGTGATCTTTACCTTAAAGGTCAGTAAACTAACAGCACTGAGTATTATCAGAATAACGAGTGATCAAGGAAGTGCTGTCTTTCATATTTGTTTTTAATGGTTTATATTATAAGAACCTTTGTTACCTTTTTTTGTAACGAGGTAAACGTGTTGCAATTTTGTTTCCTACTGGTGTTACTGTTTTGTTTTTTTTTATATTTTGTTTCCAGGGGTTTGGAAAAAATATTTTCTCACGCCAGAAGACCTACTGCAAATAGTGAATAAAAGTTTTTGTGTTGTGATTCATTTAAGATTATTTATTTATTCCATTGTTCTTGTTTGCTACTTATTGTAAGCTCTTCCCTACTAAAGGGGTTCTCATGGTTGCTACATTATTTCCTATCCTATTTTGGGGTTTTATGTGTGCGACATTGATCAAATTCTGTTCTGATTTTTTGTGCAGTTTCAAAGTCATTGATCTCCATTTGAGTTTTATGTCTGTGTATGAGTGTTAATTTAAGGAAATAATAGGTAGAGGTTTTACAATATTAGCATAGAACCCACATTATAAGAAACTGCATGAATAGACCTGCCAAACTTGCCTTCCTCAGCTTTCTCATAAGCTTTCCATATGACACAATTATTACACCCAACGGTAGTATGAAACAGGTTGTGAAGAAAGTGATGATGTATGTATGGTCATAGTAATCCCCTGAATACCTGCAAAAACGAAAGAAAAAAATAATTACTTCCATTTTAATAGTGATATAACTGCACTGTTATGAAAATAGCTGCAATTTAGTCTGTAATTTGACAATATTTTTATAAACAGAATTTGTAGAAAATTCCTAATGTCTTTGAATTATTATCAGACATGAACTTCATGATTCATTATTTATTATAATAATAAATCAAATAAACTTTCTGAAGTAAATATTTAAAAATCATGCTTCTGTCCTAGCAGGTTCTAGAATTATAACTAATTGTAAGATGCAGGCTGTGAAACTCATGCAGTTCTGATTAACTACATTCAGCTATATTGAATGTGTTGCCAATAAATTTCTTTAGTTTAACAAAATGGTTATTATATATATATTTAATGTGTGAGTAAGTATGTAAACAAGTAAAATGTGGTGGCATTCCAAGCAATACAAGTTTAAGACCAAGTAAAAATGAAAAGAGACAATAGACACTGTGAAGTAGGAGGAAAAACAACTTAAACAATATTAAGGAATTAAATTTGCTATATTTATGAAAAACAGTATAGTGTTCTGCTTAAAGATGAGGGAGCAACTCCTGAGAAATGTAATATTACATACTCAGACCTGTTTTGATTTACTTTCTCAAATTCACATGGCTTTGTTACAGGCAAGGTAATTTCCTAGTCAGTAAAAATGATTAAACTGCAGTATGTACAAAGAAGCACAGCAAAACCATTGTCCACAGGAATCATGTTTTACTGTACATTTCTCATCTGCAGAAAAAACACCACTTCTTTTGGTGTCATGAGACATTTCTTTTGGCTGAGTTCTGGTGTCTTAAATTCCTCTTCAGCATACTGTGAGCAATACGGAGTGAATATCAGCTGAAAAACATGTTTTTATTTCAAATATTCACCTGAATTCATTATTAATGAAAAATAGCTGGAGATTATGACAGTAGCAACCATTTCACTTTGGAATGTTGTCAGTGGTCTCTATGTACAGTAGCTTCAAAATATTAGTTGTTTAGGCACAAAAGCCTGCCACCAAGTACTCAGTCATGCAACATGGAGCAATGTTTTCTTAACCTTATGATGCAGGCTCAATACCCCCATTCTCTGATTGGGTAATCTATCGTTTTTAGTTGTCTCCAGTTCTGTGAACAATGTTGCCATTCAATCTTTACAATGTAAAGCTTTATGTACGTAAAGCTTCAAACCTAAGGTAACAACTATCTTTCCTGCTTCACTTATTGAATTTACTTTGAAATATTATCTGCACGTCTTTAAAAATTAACTCCACATCCTTCCAATTGCTAAACAAGCTATCAGGACGCCATACTGTAAATTAATCCCTTTGTAACTCCTTTCTGTTAGAAATATTTTTTTCTCTTTGCATATTTTACAGTTCTTTCCAGAGTCCATTAAATTGGTAGCAAGGGGAAAAAGACTCCCTTATTCTGTTCCCTTAAACAGAGTCTTTCACTTGTACTGTCTCATGTCTCTACTTGAAAAGTTGCTTAATGAAGTCATGTGTCTTCTGTGTTGCTATCTGCAGGTCCTGCTGCCAGCTCATCAACAGTTTGGAGTAGCACTGTCAGCAGTTCTTCCTGCTTTCCACCTGCTTCCATTCTGCTTGCTGCCTTCCCCTCATTACTTTCATAAATAGGGGATTTGTTCACCTTGTCTATCATATAATTAGATAGGAACCTGCAAAGCAATACACATATCCACAAACATGCATTCATGTAAATGAATGGCATTCAGTGGAATTAAAAAAACACCCACAGACAGAAAATTATTTAAATCACTTAATCACAATGCAAACTATGAATTTGTAATAGCTGGTATACAGAACACTAAAAGCCTGCTGCTTAAAAGCCTGAAACTATTGAAAATATCTCAATTTACAAACTATCTCAAATGTGAATAGCCCCTTTCCTGTTCCCCAGATATTAAAATTGGGACAGAATTCGTCCATTTCGTGTTCCCTTTCCAGGGGGTCACTGAAAAGCAAAAATGAAACCCTGGTGTGAATAAAACGGCCACTGAACAAAATTAAGGATAGGTGCAGGGACACAATGGGAAAGAACACTTCCATATATTTTTAAGCAATTTAAAATAAAATAGATCTCTTTCTATTTTAGAAAAATGACTACATGTTTTTTTTATCTCAAAATGGGTGATTACCCATTTCATAGCTGGTAATACAATACATTCTCATGCCTTTTGTCAAGAGTACACTTCTAGACTAGACAGGTATTGTCTGTTAATTAAACACGGGGTTTATTTTTATGTAGATTAAACATTGAACATGGCAGTCATCAACATTTTTCTCATTTCTAACATTTCTGCAGAGATAATTCAATGGGTGGAAAAAATATATTTAAAACCTTTAATATACAGCCATTCCTGTGTAGGGTGCCATCACTGAAACGCGTAGAAAACTATGTAAAACAAAATGTATCTCCATTTTACTCAAGTTTGAAAACATACCCTAGCTCTGTTTCCACAGACTGCATTCCTAACCAGCCAGGATGATGAATATTAGGGATCCTCATCTATTGACATGCCACAATGCAATGGCATAAGGACTGAGAGCTACATTACAACTACACTTTTACAGATTTCGTGAGCTATGGTTTTCCCATTAAAAAAAACATGCACTATTCTCATCTACCCAGGTTATAACGCTGATGTTTCAAGGTGATCTAGATAGATCTTACCAGTTTGGCTCACAAGTGGTACCAATTTTGCTGACAGTGTAGCTGCTCCATCCCAGTGCTGGTGGGATGGTCCAGATGAAAGAGAAGGTCCACACAAACACCAGTCCTAAAGCAGCATGCTTCCCCCGTAACCGGATATTCCCCAGAGGACGGCAGATCACAAAAAAGCGCTCAAAGGCCAGAACAGCCAATGACCACAGAGCAACGATTCCTGCCAAAACAGAAAACAAATTGCCTATGCTGTGAGCATTATGGATGAGTTCTGTAGATTAATGATATTTTTAGTAGAAGACAAAATGTTCTCTTTTCAAAGTACAGTTATTTTTATAACACGTTTTTGCCCAGGCTACAGGGGTGATAAGACCTTTGTTTTCACAGCAAGATATTATATTCCTCATAAATATCTTTGTTTATTTTGAAACTTTAGCACATTTACAGCCTCACTAGCTGTATTGTCACTAGTTTGATGTTATTTCTGTGTACATCAAGGCTTTCTATTATGAATTTTAACATGCCAATAGATTAATTGAAGTTTATTTTAAGAGGTCATTCAAAGGATCACATTACCAAATAATTTCAAGACTGTTCTAATGCTGTAGCTGTCAAAATTGTATGCAACTCTATTAATGAAGCTAATAAAACAGCTCTCCAATAATACATACTGTAACGCTTACGGCCGACAGGCACTGTGTAAGAGCCGGCGTACCAGAGCAGGTGATGTCACTGCCCTTCCCTGTGATAGCAGGACTACAGCTACTGAGCTGTAGGGAGATCTCTCTTTAGCTCATGGGGCTGGGTCGCTGCAGAGTGACGCGGGAGTCCCGGGTTCGAGCCCCGGACGGTGCAGGGGCCAACCTAATGCGGCAAGGGCGCCCGCCTGAGCCCCGTTGCGTTACAATACTATATAAATCATATGGTACATATATACTGAATCAAGTGATAAAAACTGTATACTGAGAACAAGATGGTGACAATCCAATCACAAATACTAGTCCAATATTAAAGAGTAGAAGAGAAGAAAATCAAGAGCAGAATTACAAGAAAGGCATAACTGGAAGAAGCAAAAAAAGAGCAATATTCAGTCACAAAAACAAGAATGGGGGGAAGGTGGAAAATTAAATTAAGGTCCCCAAGACGTGCTTGGTAATACAACCATTTTGTACTTTAAAAGTGCTTTATCCCATATGGTGTCGTGAGGGGAGCCAGAGTCTATCTTTGAATGGTTCTTGAAATAGGGAGTCCCTGTCATAAGGCAGATTCATGTAACACCCTTGGAAACCCCTAAACATTATCTTTTAATCACATTCAGGCTAACAACACCTTGTCCACCTGGGTAACCAATTTCAACAAGAGGCTACAGGAATGGGTGATAGGCACTCCGCCACTCCCAGGTCCCTGAATCAGACAATCTCTTACCACACTGCATGGAGATGCACTCAGTGGGCAGTGTGAAAAATATCTGTGCTGCTAATGTAATGAACGAGTGAGGCCTGAAACACCAAACTAGTTGAAAAAGGGCTGTCAAAAGTGGTGTTAAAAGGAAAATCAATTCACACTGCCCTCATGAAGGCAGTCTGACATAATTTCAGGGTTCTCTTTTGTATTTCTAGTTGATAACAAAGCATTACTTCACATTGCAGTCCTTTAATTCATACTTTTACTGTATATAATAATGGGCTTATATCTTCTGTTCATAGGCGTTATGGAATTTTAAACAAATCTTTCCTAACACAATTTCATTTACAGTTTTGCTGTCTGGTAAATCATTTTCACGCACTTATGATAAAGCTTGTGGTTGATTCAATAATAGTTCACATAACTGTTATTAAAAAAACACCAAATACATAGGGCTACAAATAATTGTAATACTGTTTTACATCACCTAAAAGACTTATTTGTCTACTTAGCAGTTGCTAAAACACTTCTGAACAAAATAAATGACGGATTGTTATACCATTTGACTATAGTCATCATCATTTCAATAATACTTACTCCTTTATAAGTTTAACTTGTAAGCATTTCCATTCAATCACATTATCAATCCGTGTTCCACGGCAATTCTACGATATTGTAAATTAAGACGAATGATATCTGGGATAAAATCCTAATCCTTAACATTGTGATAATCTAAGAAGTATTAGATCATGTAACTTTCTGTGAGATATATACTAAAAACGAATACTAAGAAACGACACTGACACCTGCCGTTTAATTCTTGCTGGTAAAAATAGGACATTAATACCTCGGTACACTATCGTGTACTGTATATTCTGTTGAGAAAAGCAGATTCTTTGTGCATCCATTACTTACTTAGAAATCTGAAACTTACCAAAAAATGTAACTGCGAATCCTTCAAGAACACAAGCCCATGGTCCCATGAAAAAGTAACCTTTAGCGTTAGTTAGAAAACTTATCGTCCCGCCGATTAGCGATACCAAAAAATCCGCTACAGAGAGATTAACAATAATATAATTCAGAGGTTGTCTCAGCTGCTTGAACCTAAAGGTAACAAGCATCACTGTAAAGTTTTCAGACAGGGACAAAGACGTTACAATGAACATTAACGCAGCCAGAAATTTGAAGTTCCAGGGAGCGATGTTTTCAATCGGACCGGAGAAAGGATCTCCGGGTTTCAATATTTCTGCAGCTTCTGTGTACACTACACCGTTGACTGAAACTCGAAACGAATCCATTTTATGGGGCGCGGGAGGCAAGGAATTTTAGAAAAAGTTACTTTTCTTCCGAAGAAAGTTCACAGGTAGAGTCAACTTCAATTACCTTGTGACAGGTAGTGAAAAATAAAGAATTGCATCAGTAAAAGAAAATGTCCCAATTCCTGTAGACATCGGTATTAATTCTACAATCTATAAGAATATTACAGAATATGTCTTCAAAGTATGAAGACCGGTTTGTTCAATTAGCTTTAAAAATTCTACAGTTATACAGTACAAGGTGAAAATTTTAATTAACGTTTATCAAGTTCTTCATGCCCTTTCTAAAGTGATTTATACACCTGCTAGGTTAGGGATCCGGACCGTAATCCTCTGTAATAAAAAAAAATCGGTTCAACGTCAAAAAACCTAGGAAAATGATCCAATGAAATAAAACCTGAAATGAAAGTCGCAGAAACGTTAAGGTGTAAGCAGTTGTCCTTTTCCTGCAAGTACCAGTTCTGCACAGTAAGTAGCCCTATATAGCTATAGCACATGTGCTCTCGATGTTCCTTTATATAAGCTATCGCCGGCCAGTCCTGCAACTTCTCAAGGAATAAATACTCCTGCCCACAAAGAGCATAGAAGACTAACGCACAAGAACCTTGAGGAATCGTCTGTGAGCTAAAGGAAACGAATAGCCTTTTAAATATGGCGTAATGCTCTGAAAGTCTGGATTATAAACTGGGGTAAAGCAAATGAAGACATAATGGTCTGTTGAAACTGGAAAATGACAGGCATCTAGGGAATAAAATATAAATAAGAACACCTCTGTATGGGACTGTTGTGGTTGTATTATCAGATTAGGTTTGAAATTTGTTTTTGAAATATAATTTAAGACTTCAAATTAATAAACTGCCTTTATGGTCACAGATTTACTGTAGTTTGAGGGATGTAAAACAGTAAAGCTTCCTAACCACCAAATCTCTATATAAAGTTTTACGAAAAAGTATGAATGTACAGTATGTCGTTTATCTACAGTAAGTATAAAAGAACTTTTACAATGTTGAACTTGCTGAACTTTAAGCAAAACACAATGCTCTTTGCGAAAGGTGGGTTTTAATAATCGATTTTGTTTCTGTTTCTGGTTTTAAATACCCCAGTGACAACTCTCAATGTTTATTCCTCTCTACACCAAATATATGGTATGTGTAGCATGATAGGATATAAAAATACCTGTTTAATAATGTGTGGGACTGCAGCATTCTGTTGAAACTTGATATACCGCGGTGTATGGTGCAGTTGACGTGCTTTTTGCACAGTGATATTTCAACCACAAATGCGACTGCCATATGATTAAGCAAATTGTTACAGAAAATGTGTGATTGATGACATGTATGGCAAGCTGTTTAAAAACATAACTGTGAGCTCCGACTGCTGAAAGAGTTTCTGTCCCAAAACTTTCACTTGCACGGATCAACCATGTGACTTCACTCGATAGTTCCATAACTGCTTTATGGAATACAGGAAAGCGCAGGAATTATTTCCTCAAGGGGAATTTTTCTCTTTCTGGGAACTGGAATGACAGCATCCATAATCGCAGGGAGTCAGGCAAACAATTAATGATTTAATCATAAATTATTTCTTGTATATCTTTTTAATAGATCTACAAGAATAATATATAACTACCTTTATAACTTGTAAGAATAGCGTCATGGGTTTAGTTTAGCTTCCTTGCATATACCACAAAATATGGTATCAAGATATTCAGCTATGTGAAAATCAGTTAAATTATTTTCATTAAGGAGTAACTTACTTTTCATTAAATCACTTCCATCAAATCACAAATCTAGCTAGTAATTTAAATTCCACATCAATATTTGATAACTTTTAAGGAAGACATATACAGTAGCCACAAATAGTATGTCGTTTGCATGAAACAAAGGCTCATTGACCCTAATTTAAATCTCTGCTCAAAGATTTAAGCATGGCTTTTCCTTTACACACAAATGTGACAGTTTTAGATTACACATGAAAAAATAATAAAACTAATGTAATTTTAAAATGACCACAAAGACTATTTCCTAAGCACTCAAAACTGTACTGTGTAAACTGTACCTAGAACAGATGCATGTTTCAGCTGCTTTGTAGCAGCATGCTTTATTTCTGACACACTTCTTTCATTTATGAGGGGCATTTAGTTTTATGTAATATAATGCATGTATTTTATGTCATATAATAAAATAAAACCATTTGTAATAAATTATTGTTAAACATACTGTTTTAGATCTCTGAAGAAATGAGATGGAGAAATTAAAGTGTTAACCTTTTTTATCAAAGCTGCCATAGATTCAAGAGTGTTTTCATTTGTCAAATGATGTTCAGCCTAATACACATTTGATTAATCTGGGTTTTTATTATCCATCCATCATCAGAAAGCTGCTTGTCTTGGTGAGGGTCGCAACAACAAGATTTTCTAATAAAAGCTAACATAAAAGATCTTTCAGCAAGTTTTAAATATTTTAACTGTAGGTTATGTGTGATTTTGTTGTACTCTTGGATCTTGGGTTATTTGGGGAGACATGTATTTGGATTGAGAACTAGTTACGAAATAGAAATCAGAAAAATTGGGATGATGTAAGTAGTGAGTACCACAGGGATCTGTACTAGGGACTGTACTTTTTCTAATTAATATCTATGATCTAGATTCAGGAACAGTCAGTAAAACAAATCAAATTCACAAATGATACCAAATTAGGAGGATTAGCATATACTATAGAAGCAGCAACTGAAATTCAAAAAGATTTATATAAAATTCATGACTGGGCACAAACCGGGCAAATGTTGTTTAATGTAAACAAGTGCATGGTATTGCAATAAGGAAGTAAAAAA